TTTCCATTGCCTATAGTGCTTTTCGGATGAGGATTTTAGGTGAGGCTTAATTTTGTTTTCATAAAGCCCAGGCCCTATAGAAACTTCATCTTTTATTTTTACCACAAAGATGTCACAGTCACTCTTGTCTTTTAGATTTAAAATCAAGTGGTTGTGAGTATGTTACTAACTATACCCCAAGTTTTAAAATGAATTTCTCAAAGTATTGTCATTTTTCTTTGTTGATTAATAAAGTTACATGCACTTGTCCAAAAAAAAAAAAAAAAACTTTTCGAACTATATGATACACTCAAAGCCATCCAATTTGAAATTTAATATTTGGAGTAATTGTAACCTCTTTGCATGAAAGGAAGATAGTCTCATAGTATACAATACCCTTTTTTTCTTGAAAAAAATTATATAAGGTTGCAACATTAAAATGTAGAATCAAGGTTGCACCTCAAAAATCTATTGAAAAAAGTTGTTTTAATGTTGAGAAACCCTCTAATTGATCATCTCGACATTGAGATGTATGAACGTGAAAAAGAAAAGGATTTCAAATCCCATAAATAGTGCACTTGCAACACATTTTCTAAACCACCCATTTTCAAGATTTTGAACTATTTTTGGAGTTTAAATTTTTATATTTTGAGTCGGAAATAGTTTTTTAGTCAATCCTAAGAAATTTTCACGCCAAAATTACATCTTATGATAAAATTTGGAGGCGAGGATGCAACCTTATGCAAACCACACCCTATTATAAGGCTATCACAAAAATCTCCAGTATTGAAACCACATTTCTCGACACTATTTGAAGGTGTGCTTTTCATTGTTTAGAGTCTTAGCCTTGTACAAACCGCACCCTTTTTATTTCTACTTCCATAAATCTCGAGGCTATTTTGGTTGACCCTAAATAAATGTTTTCTATTTTTTTAATTGAACATGAAAAAAAAATGTAATTTCTATTCAATGAGTGCTTAAGAGTATTTTTTTTAAGAAAAAAGTTTATATAAAGATGCTACCTTATAATGTATAACTACGGATGCCCCTCAAAAATCTATAGGAAAGGTAGTTTTAATGTTAAAAAGCCTTTGATTGATCATCTCGACATCAAGATGTATGACTATGAAAAGTAAAAAGATTTTAAGTCTCAAAATAGTGCATTTTACAACATATTATCTACACTATCCATTTTCAAGATTTTCATATGTTTATAGATCTACTTGATTTTAGTTATTTTGAAATTTAAAAATTTATAATTAGATATAAAAATAGATTTTAAGACAATCCTAAGAACATTTTACATCAGATCAAATTTGAAGGTGCACGATACCTCTACACCTATGATGACAAACTGCACCTTTTGTTTTAAAGGACAGTTGCCATGCATCTTTTGTTATTGAGTTCCCCTTTATTCCTACCACACCATCCATCCCTGTGAGTTGATAGTACATCTTCTTTAGTGATTGGGCTACCGTTTATTCCTATATACTGTCCATCCATGTGAGTTGAAGTATGGTATATAGAGTATGGATATAAATATTTTTAAATTTATAACTTTTTGGCAAATTTTCACTATTTATAAGCCAAATAATTGATTTCACTAAATTATTCTGACTACATTGAGAACAACCATTTTAAAACTTAAAACTTATACATAAAGTTGCCTATAATTTTATCTTAGATAATTTTATAATGGATAATACCAAACAATATATTATTAAGTACTTAGCTTTTTATTGAAACAATGAATTACCGGTGATTATAAATACATTCACATAAATAGTTTATGAGATTGTATACTATGAGATCATTTACTTTTTATACTAGGAGGTCACAATGACTTACAACCATCCGATGTGAAATCTGGTAGTTTGTGTGTGTCACAAATTTTGAGATTTCTTTTTTTTTTTTTTTAAATTTGAGGTTGTTCGATGGAATAAATGCAACTATCTAATTCATATACAATTATCAAAATTAATAGTGACTACCTTGTATCAAAAATAGATGGTTTCATTGTATATTTTTCTACAGTTTACATATATGTTTATCACACTTTACATGAAACCCACTATACAAACCCATCTGTATAAGCACTTGAGCTACTCGTCCGAGATAAAGTAATAGGAACTGGACAATGATGGAAGCTTTATTTCTCCATTTCTTGAGAAAATAAGCTAAACCAGGTTTATAGTGAAACATAAAATAAAAAAGAAACCTAAATCAAATATGGCCATTCTCACAAGACTCACAACACCGCTGACTGCCAGAGATCGACAGTGATTACCAACTAGCTTAGTAACAAATATTGTCGGCAATTTGATTTTATCCCAAACATACATTGTTGATAATATCTCCAACCAATTTTATGACCATAAAAAAATCTTATATGTAAAAGGAAAGTGTATATTGTGTACTAGGTTAATTTAGAAAGTATATATTGCAATCACTATATGTGAGAAGGGTGGGTATGATTTAGGTGTCTGTGATTTAGTTTTTATTATTCTCATCTGTAATTTGTCTATAAAAAACAAGTCTGTCTATTCATATTTTTAATAAACACTGGGAGTCTCTTCAGATAAACTTGAAAGTCTTCACATTACACTACTAGAAGACATGTTTTTTAATCTTCAATGTATGTGTAAAACGTAGTTGACTCTGCATTCATATTTTAAATTTATTTTTTTTATTTTTTATTTTTAAAAATCTAGTCCAATAAGTTTGACAAGTAATTAGAAAAATTTTGTCTGAACCAAATCTTCACCTGTTCACTTACTTCTCTAGCTCTGATAACACTTGATTGAGCATATACCAAATCTTGTTCCTAATAAGGGTTTATGGGCTTTATCTTATTGTAAAAATATATATCACGATGGCGATATATCTGCGGAAAAATATCGAAATTCATCTTAGATGGATGGATATAAAAATTCAGGGGCTGATATTCTCAACCATGCTGATTATGGATGGGTATAAGAACTTAGGTGCTAATAATCTCAACCATGCTGATTATCGATGGGTTGAAGTTTTAAAATCGTATGTATTTCCTATTCATTTTGCTCCTAGGCATAGCATCAGATCTTGCATTATTTTTCGATTTTCAATAGCGGAATTGTATTTCCAATGATTGGAGATGTGTTTTATATCCTAATTTTAAGGGAAAAAATTATATAATATTGCAATTTTATTTGTAGTCTTCAAGTTGCAATAATCCACACTATTTATATTATTTGGATCGTGGATATTACACTACATTAAAAGAAGTTTTGATAATATCTTAAAAGACAAATAAATTTACATACGGACAAAATGAGATCACGTTTATCTCAAAATACGGACGCCACCTCCCTCCGGAAGCTTTTTTATTTTCTAAGTTTCCCCCTAAGTTGTCTGCCCCTGTCTGACAATGGCAACACCAGACATGGTTTTGTTTTTTCAAGTTCGTTGAACTGTCCGGCATTTGTTTTTTCAAGTTCGTTGAACTGTCCGGCATTCTCCGAGACAACAACTCTTATTTGTAAAATAAATAACTAAATAACCCCAAGTAATTTCTCTCTAGGAGGAAAAAAAAAAAAACAAATTACCTTCACTCCTCTTTATCATAGTCTCCAGTCCTCTCTCGAAACTCTCTCCCTAACCAACAACAAACTCTTCGGAAAGCTTCCTGCCAATATCACCTGAAATTTCACCCATCTCCGCTATCTCAAACTCTCTTTTAATGCACTGTCTGGAGAGATTCTTACCAGTCTAGACGGAGCTCACATCCCTCTCCCTTAGCAATGGAGAGATTATTGCCGGTCTAGACGGAGCTCACATCCCTGCCCCTCAACAACAACTTCTCTGGCAATTGGCCTAGTGGGTTGGGCTCCAATTCTTCAATGACTACTCAATTGTTGGATTTTTTTTCTAATTTGTTGAATGGGTCTTTTGCCTGAAGACCTGGGTGGCAATATCCAGTACCTGAACCTTTCATGGAATTGGTTTTCCAGTGAGATCCCAGCAAATTTGGGATCAAAGTTGCTGGAAAATGCCACAATTATATTTGTCTAATGAATAATTTTACCAGATTCTGGCACCTTTGTGGTGCAAAAGCCAAAATATTTTTTCGGAATTCCAGGCCTTTGTGGTAGGGCGTTGAACAATCTCTGCAACTCTCTCCAATCCACCCCCAATTCAACAACTTCACCAACTGC